CAAGCACTCACCCAACAGGCCCAGCTTCCTGTCTTTCACAGCACGGGACAAACATCTCTATGGTTATGTCGGCTGAGAGTTCAGATGGCAAAAGTCTTAATGAAGATAGAGTGTTTACTGGATTGTCAACAGCAATCCCCTCTCAGAAACAGTAACTCAGGGGACCTTCCTGTGTCCCTGTCTTTCTTCACCATCTGTAAATACTCTGAGGTCTACAAGCGAAAAAAAAGGTAGATTTTAGTTAGTAAACCAAGATATTAGGAGTAAAAGAGTTTGTTTTGGGTTTGGTTTTTTTTGTTTGGTTGGTTGGTTGGTTGGTTTTTTGGGTTTTTTTTGCAAGGTTGAAACTGTCTCCTTATGAAATTAGAAATCACTGAGTTAAGTTTCTCAGTGGTCTCATAGTTTGTGATTCAGATTAGTAATATATGCTTTCTTGAAACTTGAATCTTCTTCAGCTAAATATGTTTTTGAATTTTTAAAAAGATAGAGCACCTGGAATTTTTATTTTCTTCAGCAGAATGACTATCAGATCTTTTTGTTGTCAGATCAAGGCTTACATGGCTCATTGCATCTATGCACAGCAAAAAATGGATCTGTAATTCCCATGAAATTTGCTGTAGTTCAGCATCAACACTATTCTGAAATGGACTCTGTAAAGACTTGTTTAAAAGAAAGCTTTTGTTCTTGAAAGCTAATCTTAGCATTGCCCTGCCCATTATGATTTGACTTGGAAATTAGCATTGCAGAGTCCAGAGAGCACACTTTCTCAAAAATATTTTCTTAAGATGCTATGACAGTTTCAGCAACTGCTATTTTTACACCATTTCATTTAAAATTAATCCCTTGTGGAGTTCTCAGCAAGTATGTTTTACAAAGAACACACTTGAGTCTTCTTTGTTTGTTATGAATGCAGACATATTTTTGCCTCTTTAAGAAAGTTGAAACTCTCTCGTAGTTTTGGAATTCAGTAAGATCTTTTGAATTTTATTGCCTTTATCTAGGTAGATGCTGGCATTTAAGAAGTAACAGTGTTGGCTCTCTGTCTTTGAGTCTAAAAATCCCCTTTTTTGAATGTTTTCTGCTTGTGCTAGCTTAAATTAATTATTACAGATTATCACTTTGCCTTGTCCAGTTTTATTTCCTATAAAAATTGACGTGACAGTTGAAGATTCTTTTGGGATTTCAAAATTCAATTGGCAACTTCATTCTTTTGCACCTTAGAGATCTAATATCCAGCTTGCCTTTTAGCTGTGTTCTGGAAGTGAAGCAGGGAGACTTGGAGAACTTAGCTTGAGAATCTACTTTGAAAATGTTGTTACTGGATCTTTGTAATCCCACATTACCTGTGACTGGCACATTAAACAGTATAGAAAAACTGAGTATCTTTCTGACACAACAAATATTTTCTATTTATGTTGCTGAAGTTTTCCTTTTTAAGGAGAGTCCAATATCAAGGTAGTGGCTTGCATAAAATTTATGTTGTGTGAATAGCTTGTCTTTTTGGTAGATTCTTGGTGATAGAGTCAGGTCTGAAGGCTAATGATGTTTTATCCTATAAACATTAGGTTTTGTTTACAAATAATCAAGTCTCTAATACTTTTTCATTCTAATTCTTGGATCATAATTCCGGTAGATGTCAATATGATGTATGAAAAATGATATGAATTTACTGGTCACTAGATTTTCAAAGCTAGGACTCAAAGGAAATATTGTTTTCCTGTACAGCATTCATGTCCTTTGCTACCTTGTTCTTTTCATGAGATAAAAATTTATAGTAATGGTTTTGCTTTTAGAAACACATTTGCGTAAGTAATAAACCTTAGAAGAGAGCACAGGAATAATTGAATGAAATTGTTTTGATTCGACATCACAAGTAGCAGTCAAAAAGAAAAAAACAACAAACAGCACATCAAACAGCAAGCTATACAAGATAATACCTTTATTATTCTTTTTAGGAATAGAGTTGGCCGCAAGGTCTCTCAAAGGAATATGAACTGATAGGTTTCTCACTTGTCATATGACAAATTACTTGCAACTTTGTTTTACTTGAATAGCATTAGAAGAAGAGTGTTCGTGTTAATACTTATTCATCTGGGCTTTTGTCATTGAAGTCATGCAGCTGAAAACATTGGAGTGTTTGAGATAGCTGGCTTAAAATGCTCTTCAGGCTGTTGGGTATCAAGGGAATAACTTCAGTGTAAAATGTGAATAGAGCAGTAATGATCTTTCAAAATCAGATGATCTAATTGTCAAGAAATCCCATTTCCCACTAGTATTTATAATAAACCAGAAGATAGGGTAGCATATGGAGGTAAAATTTCTGATGTGTAGACAACAGTTTCAAATGTGATGCCAGGAGTTGAGGACTAAAGAACATGGTGTGTCACTGTGGGAAAATTTTCAAAAGAGGTAAAGAGGAAAGAAGTATTTGAAGGTGAGATAAAAAGCACAGAAAATTTCTTCCCATGATGTACCCAATAGAGTTGAAGGAAGCCAAAGCTGAGAATCAGTATTCAAAAATATCATATTGTTTTTCTAATTACTTTTGGACTGTGACCTTTGAGGATTCAGGAAAATATTTAGGGCTAACTAACTTAGCTGACAAAAAATATAGCTAGGCTTGTGTCCTGGGTTCAGCTACAGCAGTCATTTTTTCTCCTTCTCAGTAGCTGGTGCAGTGCTGTGTTTTTGACTTTCAGTCTGGGAACAATGCTGATAACACCGATGTTTTTAGTTGTTGCTCAGTAATGTTTACTCCGACCAAGGACTTTTCTCAGTCTCATGCTTTGCCAGGGAGGAGGGGAAGCCAGGAGGAAGCAGAGGCAGGACACCTGACCCAAACTGGCCAAAGGGCTATTCCATACCACAGCACATCATGCCCAGTATATAAACTGGGGAGAGTTACCCGGAAGGCCCAGATCGCTGCTCGGGTCGGGCTGGGTATCGGTCGGCGGGGCGTGAGCGGTTGTGTCCTCTCCCCTTGGTATTCCTCTTATCATTATTATTGGTAGCAGCAGTGGTTTATATTATACCTTAGTTACTGGAGAGCTGTTATCTCAACCCGTGGGAGTTACATTCCTCCGATTCTCCTCCCCATCCCTCCGGGAGCCGGGGGAGGAAGGAAGAGGCGGGGAGTAAGCGAGCGGCTGCGTGGTTCCAAGTTGCCGGCTGGGCTTGAACCACGACAGCTTGGAATTGTGTTGTTGAACTCTATGAAGTTTAATCTTATACCATGCTAAAACTCTTCTATCGGTGTCAGGCTCATAAAGTTGATATTATAAATAAAGCTCGGAAATTGTATTTATAAAAATCCACACAAATATAATATTTTGGTGTAGGAATATCTGTCTAAAACATTTTGTACACATTCAGGAGCATGCAAAGGAAAATTGCCTCATTTAAGGAATAAATCTATGTAAATGCTGTGAGAAATGGTGCCACTGGAGTTTAGCATGTATCAAAAATTTAGATATGTTGCATAGTAATGAAAATCTCTGCTCTGGACATGGTTGTGAAATCACAGTTCTGTCTGATGTAATCAGTTTAGTAATGCACATGCATGGAAATTTCTGATACAATTAACTAGGCTTTGTAAAATACATTATAAAGCTATTCACTGTGTAAATTATATTCTTTAAAATTCAGAAAGTAATAAGAAATAAATTTTCTTTCTTGTCTGAAGTACTTTTCTAAAATATCATATTTATTGCCTTAAGAAGACCAAAGGAAACTGTGCACTATGGGAATGTCGTGGTACAAAACCAGGGAAGTACAGAAAGAAATCTCGGTCTAGGGAGTGACAGGGGAAATACCCTCCACATTCTAATGTCATATATTCATGAGAATAATGTTAAGTCCATTCGTGAGACTTTATTGTTTTGATTTGTTTTATATTTGTGTAGACTGTGTAGGCTTTTATTATATTTTTAAATTTAAGGTTTGTAAAAGAAATGTGTTATGCCTGCTGAAGAATGAATGAGCAACTTAAATATTGGTTCTACAAGGAAGTATTATGTGACATGTCTCTATTACATTGCTTGTCTGAACTGGAGGCCTGATGATGCCAACCGTTATGAAACATGGGGAACTTCCACATACCCCCCCCTCAGTGTTTCATTATGTTTTCACCTTAAGCCAATTTGGTCATTTAAAGTTGTTTAAATCCTGAATGTGTTTGTCTTTTTGTCTGTATAACTGCTTTATAATTTATTTTGTAATTCATGCTCACACTGTAGCTTTCGTTTTGAAAAACAAAACTGACTTCAGCTTGTGACTTGGCACGTAGAGTGCAAAATGTGATAGGAAATGCAGGGCCAAGAACAGTAAAGAGAGTTAGGAATTAGGAGGTGAGTTTGGAAGGATACTCGGTGTGAAAGAAAGCAGGGATTCTGGTATTGAAGGTGTTAAGGGGTGAGCAATAACATGGGACCTCAAAATAAGGAAGGAACTTAAATAGAAAGAAATAGATATGCAGTAAATGAAGGGTTGCAGAAGGAGGAGACCAGGGTGATAAGGAAAGAGCTCTAGCACCAGAGGAAAAATGTCAAGAGCTTAGCTACAAGGCAGAGTTTGAAACATTGGTAGTACATCGACACTACTGGTACTGAGAACAGTAAGGGTGCATGTCTGTCCTTCCCAGACCATACACTACTTTAATATGATTTCTCACTATTAAGTGAGACTTCTTGGCGTAATTTTTTTAAAGACTGCCTGTGCTCAGTTAACCACTTTTGGGTCTCTTAGGAGTTCTCTATGTCTATCTTTCATACGAAACAAAGGAATCTGCTTCGATCAACCTGGTCTCATGGAAGGTGTACTAAAAAATTAGGAAACTAAAAAAAAAGAAATAAAATAGAATGGTCTATTTTTTTCTAGACAAACTGAGAAAAAAATGTAGATCTCTCTTACTCGGTAGAACAATATTAATTGGCCCAGGGAACTGAAGAATAGAAAGAGGAAAAAACCTTACTGATCTAAAAATACTGTTGTTTTATTCCTAGGTTCAGACATTGTTCAGTGGTTAACGAAGAACTTATCCATAGAAGACCCAGGTAATTTTACTTTTTTTTTTTTTCCATGTCTAAAAATTCTAGTTTGTCTTTTTAAATGATTAGACCTGACTTTGTCTGCTGTTACAGTGGGGATGGCTGGGCAGCATTTGACCAGTATAATTTTAATAGCAAAACGGGCAGCATCAAACCTGAGAACCCTTTGCTAAGAATCTGAGGATTTTTCTTATCCATTTTATTGGAGCAGATACCAGGAAACAAGATGATGGCCAAGAATGAAAATGATAGCTGCTTTCGTTAGCACGAAATGAGTTTAAAGTTCTATTCCGTGAGGAATTTGCTCAGTGTCACGCTAAATTGTTCATTCAACATGTCCTGTTTTCTTAATAGAGTTTTTCAATATATAAAATATAAATAGAATTAATAAAATAAGCGTTTGTACTGTTACTGAGAGCTGCATTTCTATTCTTAAGTTTGGACATTTTTATAGCATCTTAAATGGAAAGTGAACTGTAAATAAAATCAGTGCAGTGAGGAAGAACAGTTCATTGCTCAATCAGCTGGGTTGGAAAGTGGAAGTAAAGCTTTGGTTAAAGCTCTGGTTACAAGGTTACTTGTGTGGCCAGCAGCAAATGGAGTTTGGTGTGTACCTAATATTTATTTCCCTGGTTTACAGGGATCTTGTTACATGATCTGAAATTTTCCAGGAAGGAATGATTTCTAGTAGAAAATGCTGAATGCCAGAAAAAAAAAATGTTCTGTGGAAGTTCTTATTATGTTTTGGTTAGGGGAAAAATAATCTTCCTTTTTTAAAGCATGATCAAAAATACGTATTTTTCCTCTCCACTTCAGACTTTGGGGAATGGAATTTACGTTTTATTTTGTTGTTTGTTTTTATTTAAAAAAATTTGTGGGGGGTGGGGGTTCTGTCGTATTAGAAATGAAAGCATGATCATTGTGTATTTCCAGCAAAAAGTAAAATCACTGTGTTTAAAATTGTGACTTGAATAATGAGGAACTCTTGTAAATTAATAATTCAATATTTGGAAGTAGCCAGCTCACAAGATATGGATATGTTACATGAAACAGATCACTAACAGCTTCCAGTTTTATGTAACTTTACACAGAGTGTTGTATGTTTGCTTCCTGAAGGTAAAATGGAGGTTGCAGGAGTCCTCTGTGTGATATTATATTTCACAGTTGTCAGCTGCAAAGCACTCACTTACCTGTATTTATCAGAGTTTGAAAGATTGCAGTACCATACTTACTTGGTATGGAAGCTTAACCTTCATTTGTAAAACCAGAACTGCAATACTGTGGGATGTTTTCATTCAGATTATCTGGTTGTTGCAAAATTTGGAATAGAAGAAACCTTAAATGAAATGGAAAACATGGTTGCCTGTGTTGATATCCAGTTAAAATTAAGCAAACACACAAAATACTAATATATGTAGCCAGAACACCACTGTAATTTAATTTCAGATGGGTTTTATTATCTCAGATTGAATGGGTGGAAAAAATTATCCACAATGACAAAAACATCTCATGCATGTTAGTCCTAGTCCAAAATCAGCTATCTGGAGCCGGCTGGATGCAAATCTTCAGAAAGCCAGTCACCCTAAATGCTGCCTTTGGGGAGTGCTCAGAATTACCAGATAGCAGTAAACCTGACAGACGGTGGGCAAGAACTATTCATATGACAAAACCTCTGAAAATACTCTATTTTGTAAAATCTTTTAAGCATGTAACTTTTTGTTCCAGTTCTAGAAAAGACAATATAGAATTTCCTGTGGAGAAGCCCTAAAATTCTGTGAACTGTTGTCACTATAATTTGGATTTCCGGTATCTCCTCTCTACTTTTCACCAGTGTGTCAGGGTTTTACTATGGCTTTCTTTTAAAACTCCCCTGGTAGAGTCCTATTACAAAGCATCTGTGAAGCTATGCAGTTTTGTGATGCAGAAATAAATACTGCCCATGTTTGCACTGACAGTTACCCTATCTGTCTAATTCTCATATCAGCAACATACCTGTAAAAGCAACACAAAGTAGACCTTGGTTCACATATTTTAAGATTATGTTCTACTCCATCCTGTAAAAGTTAAGGACTATTTGCATTCCTCATCTACCATTGCTGTGAACTACTTGTGCAAGCAAGGCATGCAAATCGTGACAGGTAGATTCACAGAATCATAAAACAGCCCAGGTTAGAAAGAACCTCAAAAGGCCATCTGGTCCATCCTTTAATGGGAAAGAGAGCCTAGATGGGGTTAACTAGCACCCTGTCCAGTTGCATCTTGAAAACCTCCAGTGATGGGGACTCTAACACATCCCTGCGGAGGTTGTTCCAGTGATTGATTTTTCTCACTATAAAAAATTGCTTTCTTATACCAAGATGAAACCTCTCCCTGTGCAACTTGTACCCATTGTCCCTTGTCCTCTCCAATGTGTCTCCTTTGGAAAAGAGCCTTAGTCTTCTTTTGTAGCTGCCCTTTAACTACTGGAAAAATCTGTTGAGGAGCCCCCTGAGCTTTCTGTTCTTCAGGCTTAAAACATCTAACTGATTCAGTCAACTTGTTCTTTAGTAAAACAGAGAACAAGTAAGAAGCAAATGGCACTACCATACATTAAAACAAACAAACAAGTCACATTTTGTAGTGCAATTTTTTCCCTTTGTTTTGCATAGGGAATACAACTCCAATACCATTTAGGTGGGAATGAAGAAGGCTGCTTTATGGATAGTGGGATAAAAAAAGGCAGGAGAAGCTCAGGCAGCATTTGCTTTCACTGTATTAATAAGTATAAAGCTATTATCTGGAATCAGTAATTTCAAATAGAAAATAGTTACAAATATAAATTGCCAATCAAAAAAACCAAACAAACCAGACCACCACTACCCCTAAAAAGAAAAACCCCACAAAATAAAACCCAAAAAACAACAACCAAAAGAACCCATGTACATTTTTCATAAATGGAAAAATGATTTTCTGTGGAAGATTTGAAAGATTTTGGCTTGCTGCAGTAAATCTCCATCAAGAAAATAAAATGGAGATGATGGGTGGATTCGGCTAAATTGTACCAGATTTGAAGTTATTTCAGTGCAGAAGAGTAGAGCTTGTGCCCAGAATAGCTGTGTGCAATGTACAGTTACTGTTACATTGTTTGCTTTTCAATATGTACTTAAAAAATGTTCATGTTTCAGCCTACAACTCATCTGTAAAATTTTAAGGAACAGAAATTATCTCAGTTATTTTTAATGTGGAAGTTTAATTCAATCATAAAAATAAGCCTGATCTCACCCCAAAAAGAAGCAATTAACTGAGTTTACAAGAATTGTACGGGCTTGTGGTTTGGCACTCAGATATGTGTTTGTTGAATTGACCATTACAGGGTAAGTGCTGACTCTTCACTGATGGTGCCAATTACCCTTAATGCGGAAAATCTACTCTGTTTTTCTACACTGTGTTTTTCTTTTTTAAAGGGATAATCAGTACTGTGAGATGTATCAGACTGACCACACTAGAGATTCAAGTTCTTTTAATCCTTAGGGAAAAAAATAGAACAAAAAGGGTAAATAAGCTGATTTAGAAGTGTCAGCTGAAATTGCCAAGAGACTAACTCTGTACTTGGTTCTTGTGTTGATTTCTTTGATGCCCTTTGGGCAGACACTTAATTTCTCTATTCCCTAGCATTGCAACTTGCTAACAGTAAATCATGTTGTCTCTTTAAGGGGAAAAAACTGTCATTTTTCAAGTATTTGCATAATGAAATATGTGTTACTCACACACGCAAGTCATCCTTAAGTCAGCCTGTGAAGAATTTCTACCGAGGTGTCTTAGAGCTTGATAATATGTTTAGTCATCATCCCCTGTTTCCTTTACAATACCTTTAGTCCTCAGTGTTGCTTATTTAATTTACTCGTATCTACAAAGCCAATTGAATTTGGCTGAAGGCACTTCATTATTGGACGGTTACTGTATTCACAGTACTGCAACCAGCTCCAGAATGCACAGCCTTTGCATTCAGATTGCCTTGGTGCAGCTCATTTTGGCAGTCTGTTGAAGGAGTTTGCTACTGCTCTTGGACATCAACAATTACACTAATGTCAAATATATCAAATCAAACTTTGTAAGTTGTAGAACAATACTATACCTTGAAGTAGACACCCTCCTCTGATTTTTCAGGTTCAGTTTTTACCATTAGTACTCTTTCACTTAACTGATGCAGCTAATTTGTAACTAGATGACCACCAGCAGCCGTTTGAACTGTGATCACTGATCCAGTGCAATAAAAGGGAGGACTCAGGAGCACATCACCTGTATTTCTTCCACCTTTCTCTCCTTTGCTTTGTAGTAAAATCTCTCTCCAGCAGTTGCTGCATTAATAATGACCTTGAATAATACACAGTGCTTGCTCTAAAGAGTTAGAGGAAAAAATATTAGGGCTTTTACTTGAGTTTATGAAAGCGTACTTGAAAAACTGGTCAGCTCTAAGTTATTTCTGCCCTTTTCCCCATGCAGATGCAGTAAAGGTAGCAGCAAAAACCAGGAGCCAGACAAGATGTTCTAAATGATTGCCATTTGGGAGACAGCGCCAGACAGTTGCAAGTGAAGGGGAGGTTCTTCTAGAATTTGCTAACAGAGGAAAGAGCCTCTTATGAAAAGGAAGACAGAAGGGAATGGAAATGTCATGCTTATGTTTGCAGTCTTTGCATTAATCAGAATCTGTGGAAATAGAGCAAGAGTAGAATGCATCCCATTTATCAGCTCAACTAAAAGTAATTTACACTGCCTGCCCTTGTACCTTAACCCTCGTCCTGGGAATCTAGGACCACCAAGACATTCACTTTTTTCATTTGTTTAACAGAAACTCAGGCACATTTTGTTTGGCAAGACAAACCTCATGAACCTTCGTCAAGTGTAGTGTATAATAAAATAACTTTCTAACTTCTACTGGGTGAATTTGATCTGAGCTTGTCAGGTCCTGTAACATTTAAATGGAATAATGCCTAATTTCAGATGAACAGAAAGAAAGTAAAACTCAG